GGATGTTTCTGCCAAGGATGGCGAAGGAAGCCTATAGGCTAATCGCTCGGACGCACCGGCCTTTTTCATTTCACGGTGGCAACGTGTGTGGTCCACCAGCTGCTCATGCAGGGCCATTCCCGCAACCCGCAGGGATAGGCCTCACCGGCGATCCGGCTATATCTGTACATGCCGGATACAAACGCCAAGTCAGCCACCCAGTCCTGCTCTATCAGGAGCTGCCTTGCCCCGTAACGCTTGCCGAGCAAGCTGCTGTACCCCGGGCAAGCATGCTCCAGCAGCCTGGACAAGAGCACGGACGGAGCGGCTTCAAGCGGGGTTGTCTCCTCCGGAGTCTTCCCCAAAAGGCGCCATGCAAAATTCTGCGAGGCGTAAGACCGCTGGTCGGACTTGTTGGCAGCAGGGTTCACCACCACCATTTCCTTACCTCGGTTCCGTTCAGATTCCACACGTCGCGGTGTCAGCTAGGCATGACGGGTAGGATCGAAGTTCAAGGCTCAGAAACGCAAAGCTTGACCATGTCTCAAATCCCTGCTGAAACACACGATAAACTTCAAATAAATCTCAGTTGAACTTCAAACAAACTTCAAATATAGTTCACATGCCCTTCAAACACATCTGGCATCTACTACAAAAGTACTTCAATCATTCAACCACATTTCAACGACAAAACATTCAGGGTTGCTCGTTCAGACGCTTATCCTGCAGAACATGGGCAGGAACAAGGGGTCTAGAACACGGAATCAGTCACGAAAGCAGATAATTATGCGTCCAGGGTGCGGCATCTGTCCCAGAAATCTGGGACAGGCAGCGACTTCTCGCCCAACTTGGCGGCGCACGCTCGAGCTATGACTGTGTCCAAGTTCCGCAGCTCCTCTGTGGAAGGCTTCCACTTTGTAAACATCAATGCATGGTTCGCAAGCTTGGCTGCAAAATGCAACCGGCAGAGACGTTCATCTCGGGCCGCCTGCTTCGCAGCAGCCTGAAACGCCTCCCGCGCTGCACGTGCCTCCTCGACTTTGAGTTGCGCAGAAGCCTGCGCCACGGACTTCTCCGCTTTAGCTGCCTCCAGCTTCAACTTGGCAGTTCGCTCCTCCTGTTGCAAGGTGCGGAGGCGCTCACGCTCGGCTTCCTGCTGGCAGCGAAAAGCTGCCTCAGCCTGCTTCCTTTCGACAGCCTTCTCCCGCAAATGAGTGCTGATGGCATGGCTGGGTCTTTCCTGTAAGCGTGCCACTTCAGCAATACGAGTGTCCAAGAAGCGAACTGTGGCAGTGTCTTGAAGATCCTTGGCTTGATCGCGCATGGCGAGCAAGGCCTGCATGTGATCAGGATTGTTTTCAGAGGAAATTTGCTTGGAAGCTGTTTCCCCCGGGTCCGCATCAATTGCGGGGCTCGCCTGTGGAACATGCTCATCTACCAGATCTGTGTCTGCATTCTTGGGAGTGAGGTTGCCGTCTTCATCCTCGTTGCTGTCATCCAAACATTCTTCGCTGCACTCTAAGCCTTCTTGCACGCCTTCATGCGCATCATATTCTTCGAGAAGCTCCGCATATTGCCACCAGCTGCGAATCTGCCCGCTTTCCACGGCCTCAGCGACCTCCAACAGCAGCTGTTCGCGCACCTGCGGCATCTCCAGCTCGAGCCAGAAAGGACGGCAGACCCTTGAGATGCTGGAATCCTCGCTGCTGTCCAAAGCCAACGTCAATCCGTTCGCCTTCCAGCCCACTTCGGAGAAGCGTTCGTGGTTCAACTCTCGCCAGCAAGCCGTCGCTCGGGTGAGCACTGTTTGCCGCGATGTGCATGGAACAGCGCGCCCGCGCCGCAACTGCACAGCAGCATCATGCTTCTCTGCCTCCTCATAGCTCTTCTGAAACGCAGCGTGGCAGTG